GAAATTTCTGCTGGTTTTTATTGCAGATTTTTATAGTCAATTTTCATGCTGGTTTTTCATGGAAATTTCATACTCTCTCAGTTGGGTTTTGATTGTTTGAGTATTTTTGTGTGTGTCAATGTTTACTTGGTGTTAGTTGATTTTATCAATCTCTGATACCTCTTATCTTACTTGGTGTTAGTTGATGTATAATTTTCATGCTGGTTGTTAGTTGTGTGGTTGGACTCTAGATGGATCATCTGAAGTCAATAACTTGTTCATTACATCCCTTCTTCTTATACAAATTGGAGGTGAGTGCATTGCACTAGCTGCTAAGCGTTCTTTGTGATGTTTGGCATTTAATTCTTAACCTTCTGTTCATATACAGTTAGCTACTCTGTGTACTGAATTCAAAATGCTCATTTTTAAAGCAAGTGGCTGCTCCAATTCAAATATTTTTAATTCAAATGCTATGTGTACTGAATTCAAATACTTCGAATTACCAATAATATTCCATCTATGGCACTTTGGAATTTCCACACAGGATCCCTGTCGAATGCCAAGTTTACCTAACTCGTAGGCACAAGCATTCCTTGGGTGACTGTCACATAAGGGGTTACTCCAAGACGGCTGTCCCTTAATGCCACTTGAACTTCCACCAGGGAACCAAACAATCAGGTACACACTCTTCATTAGACTACTTCCATATCAGTTAAACATTTTCTGGCCATAGTAGTGTGGTAATTGCACATAGTCACATATAACAGTGTTTTTCAACCTGAATTTCATAGTTATCCAAATTAGACTATATCTTGATACCTCATTGAAATGCTTGTGTTGTGTTGGCTAGTTTTATTTTCTTTGCTTACTCGTGGCATTATGAATTGTGAAATATAGGCATTAGTCATGGATCCATTCCAACATGGTGCGTACTTCATCAATCTCATACATGATGGAACAAATTTAGATGATGAGGTTATAAGTCAATCTTCACCAATATCTCCTCAAGTGGAATCTACCACCAAAAAACAATGAGGTGACAATTTTATAATAGAAGAAGACATTATGATAATCTCAGCATGACTTAATATTAGTTTAGATGCTGTGCAACAAAATGAGCAAAAATCAAAGACATATTAACAAAGGGTTTGTGAGTTCTTCCACGAATACAAACCTAAGGCATGCCCTAGTCGTACTCAAAATTCTTTGATGAATCGTTGGTCGGTTATTCAGCTAGCCACCAACAAATTTTGTGGGTGCTTTGCACAGATAGAAAGATCGAATCAAAGTGGCTTGACAAAGAAAGACAAGGTATGAGTGAATAAGTTTTGTTGTAAAATTTTTAATGAATTGATAAGACTTGGAATAAACGTAAGTGAAAAGGGATTCTCAAATTAAGAGTAGAGCCCCGTATATATATCCAAAAATAATACAGAGTGACTTAAACATCCTTGTAGTTTAGGCAAAATATAAAAATCATAGTAAGGGTAAAAAAGGGAAAAGAAATCCTAATAAACTAGACTATCTATACTCCAACACTCCCCCTCAAGCTAGGCGCAAAAATGTCAACTAAGCCAAGCTTGACAACGGAGTCCCGAAGAATAGACAGAGTGACAGGTTTGGTAAAAACATCCGCAACTTGATCATTGGTCCCCACAAACGATGGAGTAACAAGACCACTGCTGACCTTCTCCCGAAGAAAGTGAACATCGATCTCTATATGCTTCGTTCTCTCATGTAGTACAGAGTTAGAAACGAGCTGAATAGCATATTGATTATCACAATATAATGTGGATGGAGAGGTCACTGAAAAACCCAACTCGTCAAGAATCGATCGTAGCCAGATAATCTCACATGTGCCAAGTGCCAATGCCCGATACTCTGCCTCTGCGGACGAGCGGGAGACAACTGCCTGTTTCTTGCTCTTCCAAGAGATAAGATGAGTCCCTCGAAAAGCACAGAAACCCGTAGTAGATCGACCATCACATGCTCCCCCATAATCTGAATCTGAATAACAGGCTAGAGAACCGGTCTGAGATCCTGATGCATAAAATAACCCAAGTCCAGGACAAGACTTGAGGTACCGAAGAATATGATAAACTGCATCAAGATGAGGCTGACATGGCCTATGCATGAATTGACTAACTCGGCTGACTGCGAATGAAATGTCCGGCCTAGTATTGGCTAAGTAGATAAGTCTACCTACCAATCTTTGATAAACTGTCAGATCTTTCAACTCCTCACCTTCAGCAGTAAGCTTCAGGTTTGGAATCATGGGTGATGATGCCGGTTTGCACCCCAACATCCCAGTGTCTGAAAGAAGATCCAAAACATACTTTCTCTGAGAAAGAACAATACCTCTACTTCTACGGGCAACCTCAATCCCAAGAAAGTATCGCAGAAATCCAATATCCTTCACATCGAAGGCCTTCCCAAGGTCTATCTTGACCTGTGCAGTCCCAGAAACATCATCACCAGTAATAATAATATCATCAACATATACCAGAAGGATGACACACTGTCCAGAAGTATTCCGTCGAATAAAACAAGTATGATCAGAATGACACCTGGTGAACCCCAATCGTATGTATCACAGTCTAGATGTTACCTTTCTTGAGCATATTCCTTATTTTTCTTTCAGTCCTTTGTCTGCCCCTCCAGTTGATGATACTCCCTTTGATTTTTCATTACCACAAGAGTCAGAGTCATTGATCAATAACCCACTACCTAATAAACCCAACCAATATAACCTAGCCTATTGTTGGGTCACTGCCTAGCCCGCTGCCTGGTCGTGTTGATCTGCTCTTGATGCAGTAGATCATTTATATTTATTGGATTTCTGGGCACCGTGACTTGATTATTTGGGAGCTTTTTGGACCTTCCTTATTTGTCGCTACTGTTCGACTGAAGGTATATTGTTCTTCCTTATTTTATTCCTCTATTTATCTTAGAGTTATTTTTCTGTCACGGGTGCCCTAGTATTGTTGTTGATATGGCTACTACTGAGGGACTTGAGAACCCTACTGTTGACACCTCTACCGTTGAGACATCTATGGGTACTTCCACTTTTATGTTTGACCAGTATACAGTGCCTACTAGCACAGTTGCATTACCAGCATTACCGGGCATGATCTCTCAAAAATTTACGGCACAATTGTTGAATGGTCGTAACTTCGCTGAGTGGTCACGCTCATTCCAGCTTTTCTTAGGCCGTGTAGGGAAGCTTGGTTGGCTGACGGGATCTCACCCAAAACCAGCTGATGCCGACCCTGGATATTCTGCGTGGTTCTCTGAAAACTGTGCCATTCTTGGATGGTTATTTGGCTCAATGGAGCCCTCTGTTTGCAGGATCCACCAGTTTCATAGCTCTGTTCCGAAGCTATGGAGCGCATTATCAGAGATGTATTCTCAGTCAGGACGGGGAGTTCGTGTTTATGAGCTTTCTCAGGAGCTCTCATATGCTCGGCAGGGAGATATGACCGTTCAGGATTATTATGGTTATTTGACCCAGCGCTGGCTTGAGTATGAGTCTCTACGTCCTCTTGCTGCTATTCCGAAGATAGAGCCCGAGGGAGCAGCATTCTTGCATACTCGAGAGCAGGAGGATAGGATTCACAAGTTCCTTATGGGGCTTCGTGATGAGTTTGAGGGACCTTGTTCTGAGATCTTGTCGATGTTGACACTTCCTTCTATTTATGAGGTGTATGAGATGATTGAGCAGCATGAGCGTCGAGTCCGTATTGCATCACTTCTAGTTGCAGCTTTGACTCCTTCGATTGACCAGATGGCCCTTGCAACTGCTGTAGGGTCCCGTTCAGGATCCTTAGTCAGGGATGGGCAACGCTCAGACCAGCGCCGTCAGGGCGCCCCAGATCGGCGCAGACGGGGGGATTCCCGTCAATGTGATTATTGTGGCCGACCAAGACATCTCAGGGCTACTTGCTGGAAGCTCCATCCAGAGCTTAAGCCACCTTCTCGCAGCCGTACTGTTGCTATTGCTGAGGTACCACCGGGCACTACCGCCACTCCTGCTACTGCTCCTCCTTGGCAAAGTGATATGGATGCTATCACTTCCCGATTAGATATACTTATGTCTGCTCTGACTTCTCAGAGTCTGACTACTGCTGCTGTCACCACTACAGGTATATCTCGTGCCTTTCACGCTTGTGCCAGTTCATCTCCCCTTTGGATGTTGGACTCGGGTGCGAATGGTCACATGACAGGTGAGGCCCATCACTTCACCACTTTTGACGAGCCGTTACATACACAGGTTCAGTTAGCAGATGGAACACATGCCCCTATTGTTAGTAGGGGTACAGTCCGTCTCCCAGATGGCCTTACATTACATTCGGTTTTTCATGCGCCAAAGTTGGCCATGAATCTATTATCTGTACATCAGTTAGCCAGAGATTTTCACTGTGCGGTTGTATTCTTATCTGATTCGTGTTATTTGCAGGACCTGAGTACCAGGAGGATTATTATCAAGGAACATGAGAAAGATGGACTGTATTATCTTGGCAATCCATCTCCAGTTTCACCAATTCCTTCACCTGCACCTGCTTTGTCTTTTTCTGTTCCTAGCTTGCATGCTAGTATTTTACCTAGTAGTTGTCGTTATGATTTTTCGTCACAAACTGTTCAATTGTGGCATGACCGTTTTGGACATACAAATTTTAAATATTTATGTATGTTGTTTCCTGCTTTGAGTAATGCTTGTGTTGGTGGTAAACTTGATTGCGTTATCTGTTCCCTATCAAAACATGTTAGGGCCAATTATATTCCTCGCATGCATCAGTCACCCAAGCCATTTGACCTAATACACTCTGATATTTGGGGACCCTCTCCCGTTACTGCTCTGTCAGGTGCCAGATATTATGTGACATTTATAGATGATCATACCCGTTGTACTTGGGTCTACCTTTTGCATAGGAAGTCTGATGTGCTCCCTATAATCACTCAGTTTTTACAGATGATTAAGACACAATTCGATGTCATTGTTCTTGCTCTTTGTTCGGATAATG